AATACATATTGTACAGAAAATACATATTGTACTGATACACAGATAAATTAAAAAATTACTAGTATAGAAAAGAGAAAACAACACAAAAAGAAGATTTTGCTTCCAAGTCATCCCTATCTATGATTAGAACCCAAGTTTCTTCTCAAGTTGCACTTTCCAAGAGGGGATTCAAACAAAGAGCAATGACTTAAAACCAGAGATGAGAGTTTTAGGATGTTATTTTTAAAAAAAGAAAGTGTGAGGCACATAAGATGCCGGTCAAATGCAGTGCTAGCACAGGGATAAGTTTCAAGATCTGTTTCTTCATCATTATGACTTTGGTCGATTTTGTTATTGTTTCCAAGTATTCACTCCCCTCCTCCTATGATAGGATTATTCTTCCCTTCCCCATCAACATCAGGCTTGACTATGAAACTGTCTTTGGCCTGTGAAATGTAAAGAAGTATTCTGGGCAACTTGTGGGCTAAAGTTTTAAAAGCCACTGTGCAGTTCTACTTTGTTATTTTTCCTGTGCCACAATATAGGAAAGGGGACTGCTCCTTCTGTCCAAGTCCTCAAATGAGTAAGACCCGGAACACAGAGAAGCCCAACCACAGCGGACATGACACTTGTAAGAAATGAACGTTTGCTGCTGTAAGCTACTAAGATTTAGAGGTAATTTGTTAATGCAGCATAACTTAGTCTAAGCTGTCTGATACAGAAACTATTGCTCCTGTTAATGTTACTAAAAATACTTTGTGCATGATTCCTGGCAGATCAGAGGTTCATTCTTTTTGTAAACAATCAAGTAAAATATAAACAGTGCTCCCAAAACAATCCTAATAAAGCAAACAAATGTAATCAAGTGATATAAAGCATCATAATAAAACCCAGTGTGAAAGTTTTAAGATTCAAAATAGAGTCATAGTGTCAAGCCATAGCAAATGGAGTGGGGAAGGGACATAAAAGGAGGGGTCTCACCCATGATTTGCCTAATAGCAGGAACTAACAAAAGAAATTTTTCCAAACCACAGCTCACTACATGAGTCACACAAGGACAACTAGCCACTTATACAAGAACTATTGCCTATGTCAAGAACTGTTTCACAAATTCAATCCAAAACTACAAGGGCCTAACCATAACTCCAAGAATACAAATCCTATTTAACAATTACTAGCACTCACCAAGCAGAACTCAACAGCTCTTGTAAGTCATTGCCAGCATCAATAGCTTTTTTTCAAAACAACTAATATAAACTCCTCTTTCTGCAACAAACCCTAAACTTTTCCTTTGTTCTCCAGACACACTGAAGTCCACTTTAGTCTATTTATACATCCCAGATTACAATCCTACTTCTTGTATATTATTACCAAATAAAATCTTTTTACTTAGAGATTTATCTCTCTCTATTTTTTATATTGACACCAGTTTCAATCATTCATTCATTTGCCCTGCCAAAATTTACTGAGCACCTGCTCTTTACTAGGCACTGGACATTGTGCTGTTCCCTGGTAATATAGAGATAATTATACACACACACACACACACACACACACACACACACACACACACACACACACACACACACACATGTATATATATAACAAAGAAAGAGAAAGACAAACATGTGAACAAATAAAAACAACACAGTATGATAAAGGCCATAATAAAGGCAGGTAAAAAGACCTGTCATAGCATAGAGAAGTCATGGGAGGTGTCACCACAGAGATAATCTTAAAGAGCAGGACCTTGAAGAAAGGCAGATATTTGTTAAGTGAAGCAAATGGAGATTATCATTCCAAACAGCCCAGAACACACAGGGACCCATGAAAGAACCTGCCAGGAGGGAAGAGGTAAGACGTTTGGAGAGAAATAAGACTGAAGAGGAAGATGGGAAGCAGACAGCAAAGAACCTTCCATTGTTTATCCAATGGAAGGTTCTTTATTGTTTACCTGTTGGCAATGTTCAGCCACTGAACACTTTCCATAAATCATGACATGATTACATGTGTTATAGGAAGATAACATTGAGAGAAATACAGAGGCTGGATAAGGAAAAGCCCAACAACATCATTGTTCTCTGTTTTGATGTTCACATATTTCAACAAAGTCAAATGGCTATATGTTTTATTCAAAAGGCACATGCTAAATTGCCAAATAAAAAGAACAAAAAGCTGACTATATACAAAGGATTTACAAGACATGGTAAGGAAGACGTATCACACACACAGGATTACTGGGAAGAATTTAAAGTTACTTCCTTCTTCCTTATAAAATATTCATATTCAATCCATGTACTTCTCATATGGTATTGTGCTGCCATAAGCAATCTACCCTGGGCTCACAGTTAAACAGCCCAAACTTAAAATCAGAATACTAAGTGTAAACTGCTTATGAAAAAAGAGAAAATCTTAAACAGCCAATGAACATGTCTGACAGACCAACCTTTTAGAAACCAAAAACAAATCTATGATTAATGAAGCAATGAGTTCCTTTCTATCTTGAATATACCAGTCTATGACATACATCTTACTACACATTACTAACAAAGGCCTGTGCAAGAAAGTGGTCTCAATCAAATTCCAGAACTAGAAGAAGCCCTAAATTGCTTCTGCTTGAACCCAATCTAATATGTTGCCCTCACTACAGAGTCAGTGTCTTGGGTGACTATGCCAACTTACTTGAGTCCCCTTTAATGGAAAGGGAGCCACTATCTCTTGAAACAGCATATTTAATATACAGCTAAATTAAGAAGTTCTTTGCTTTGCAAAAGTTTTATGTTACATTTAACAAAAAGGCTTTACCACCAGCAAATCTGAACAACCTTTGTACCTTTTAGAAATACAAAGCTATACATATAGTAGTCTTTGGCAAATACAAGAATTATTAAGAATAATTACAAAATGTCCTTATAAGAACTTAAAGACCTTCATAAATATTGTGATGGTCTTCAGGGGCAGAAAACTTCTCTTTCCCTATTGGTGGCAACAAACAGTGAAATAGTTAAGGACACAGTTGTGGAATTAGAATACAATGTTTGAGTCCAGATTCCTCCACTTACTACGTACCTCTGGGCAATTACTTAACTACTTTATATCATAATTTTCCTTTCTTATAATAGTAAGATAATAAAAGTATCTACCCCACAGAATTGTTATAAGGATTGAATGAGTTAACTCATGTAAAGTACCTGTAGAGTAAGAATTCAGTCCTTATCAAGTATTAACCTTCTTGGTATTGCCAGGTTTCTAATATACAGTAGACAGTATACAAACTATGGAATGAAGTCAATCAAAATAAACATAATTTTATGAACTTTCAAAACAAATGTTGAACTTCACCGTTAAAACATTTTTAAAGAATAAAATGACAACCATTTCTTTTTCTGTTTAAAGGGAAATTACTTGCAAAACCTATTATTAAAATGTATAAATAAAACCTAATTCTGTAGAGAAAGAAAGTACACTGATTTTAAGAAGAGAGTTTCTACTTACATCTGGTTTGGAATGCTGAAATATCTTCAGGGGAAATTTTAAATCTCCTTTAGCTAAAGTTACTAAATATTCTTTTAATAGCTCATTAGCCACACCAGGAGACTGTTTCTCACAACGATGAAGAAAAGGAACCATCCATTGGTAGGCACTTGTCACATATTTGTCCTCAGAACACTGAAAGTATAATTAACGAAAACAAACAAGTATGAAATTAAATACCTTGTTATACCAGACAGCAAATTCTAAAGCTTACAGGTAATCAGACTGATTGTTAACAGTGAAAGCCCAAAATTCTCCAACAGTCCTGTTCACCACTCACATATGGACTGACAGGTAGCAGGAGAATGAATCACCTGTTATTTGGGCCTGGCAGAGTTCACAGCAGCAATATCACTGTGTCCCATCTCTTCAGACTATAATCAATTTGGGGTCTCTGAGAGCCTAAGCCCAGTTCTAGAAAAGAGATCTTAGGCGGAGAGAAAGAGTGAAATAGAAAAATGTAGGGAGACAGAGAAAAGCAATGAGACTCTATAAAAGGAGCTACTTGAAAACAGAGTTTCACCAATAAAAGCTGAGAATCTCTCACTTCTTTTTCCTCTTTCTCTGTTTTGTTTTTCCCTTTACATCTGCCTTCACTAAACTGCAAATGGCACAGATCATTTTATTCATTATCCCTAAAATTACATAATTGCTTCTCTTAATTACCCCAGGAGATACACTTAAATCTCCTAAGAGGAGTTCTACACATAACACAAATTAATTTTCACTGGGTAAATGATCAGGAAAAGGAACTAACGATAGAAAGGGAAAGTACAGATAGAGGTAGAGACAAAAGGAAGACAAATATAAGAGGAGAAAGATGATGAGAGGGATGTGGAAGAGAGGAAGAAAAAAAGAAGAAAGAAGATAAGAGAGAGAAAAAGAAGAGACATGGGAGAAAGAAAAACCTCTCTTGAAGCTATGACTTGGCCCCTTCATCGCCCATTCAAACTAGCCTGCCAAAGAGCAAAAGACTAAAAAGAGCACTGTGCGACAGCTGCCACCTTCATGGCACTATCGTTCTTGTCTCTTGACTCAGTGCCTAGAATAGAAACCAGGCCCTAACTTTGGGGATCAAGTACAGAATACCCTCAGAATGGTTAGAAAAGTTATCCTAAACATACTAACCCTGAAGCCAAGGTGTTTTCTTTATACAACCACCCAGATCTCTTAACCCTGGTACTTTTTTATTCAGTCCTGGAAATACATAAGTAATTCAGAATTTTGATAAAGTGAAAGATTAGAAACAGAGTTAGTAGAATGTCTGGCTGGTTTAGAAATATGCCTAACTAGATGGAGGGAAAAAAAGGTATACACATAGATCTGAATAAAGGACAAGCAAGGTATAAACACAGCCAAAATAGCTTTATATGTCTTCAGTACATTATCCATAATATTTGATTTTGAAAAAAGTCAAGAAGCTGCCCATTATTTACTAAGTTCTCAGGCTCAGAGGACATTTCATCTTTGGTTTGAGACACACACTAATCAAAGTACAAAGGGAATGCTTAAAAATATTTTAAAAGAAAGTTAAAATAAAACCTACACTATTCATCAGAAATCTAAGTTTTTCAATATCTTTCATCTGCTGGAGGTCTTTCAAGGTTAGGGTTAAGTCACACCCGGCTTCATACACCAATGTTTCCAGAGTAACCAAATTATCACATAGAGCCAGCAAACCAGGGATATTCCGTTCCATTCCAAGTCGAATAAGTGATAATGCACAGTCCACCTAAAATTGAAAAGCAACAATAAGTCCCTGAGTATTACACGTTTCTTATATATTCTAAAGTAAAATCTCCAGTACAGAATCTAACTCTCATAATCATTTTTAATAAAATTGTATTACCAATAACATACATTTTTTATTTACTGCAAAAAAATAGAGTTTTTAATCAAATATATCAGCATCAAACTATTTCAAAAGAATCAGACCATTAGCAATAAATACTAAAGATAAAGATAGTAAGTGAAAGACAACCAGTATAAATTTACAGTTTACAGCACAGTTTTACATTTATTTCTCTATTTAATTCTCACAACACTATATTAACAGGCAGAGAAAAAAATAACATACCTACTAGTGAGAATGATGAATTAATCTTATCTTTACTATTACTGCTCTGCTTCCAAAAAGAAGGTGTGGTCCCAAGGTTTTGCTTTTATATTCCTGTTTAGTATCTATCCTTTCACAGTACCTCTCATATAAAAGTCATTCAATAAATATTTGCTGAATAACTAAGTCTGGTTCAAACACTTTCTTTGTCTCAGTTCAAATATTTAGCTTTCACCAGATAAAAACAACAAATGATATTTCTACAGATGCTCAGGAAATAGCCATTTGGCCCCTATTTCCTGATCAAGTTTAATCCCTGATTGATAGAAAACTCTTCTACTATGGCCTAAACCCATCATCTCTCACACTACTTCTTACTCTCCTATTCCTAGACTAACAATTTTATTTTTATTTTCTACTTTTTTGAGTCAGGGTAACTTGCCCAGGTTAGAGTGCAGTGTGGCATGACCATGACTCACTGCAGCCTAGACCTCCTGGGCTCAGGTGACCTTTCATCTCAGATTCCCAAGTAGCTGGGACTACAGGTGTGCACAACATTGCCCAGGTAATTTTTTTTTTTTTGGTAGAGATTAGGTCTCATTATGTTGCCTAGGCTGGTCTCGATCCTGGGCTCAAGCAATTCTCTCGCCTTGGCCTCCCAGAGCGCTGGGATTACAGGCATGAGCCACCATGCTGGGCCTAGACTAACAATTATTTGAGGGCCTCCTATGAGCTAAGAACCACTGTAGGTGCAAGGAATACAAAACTACGTAAGAAGAGGTCTCTCCCTCTTGACAGCTCTCGTCTAGTAGGGAAAGGCAATCAGGTAAATCAATGACTAAAGCAAAGTGAGGTAAGTGCTGTGTATGATTGGGGTCCCAAAGAGAGTATCTAGCCCAACCTGAGAGCATCACAGTTTTCCACATGAGGGTACACTTAACATGGACTTTAAAGAATCAATGGGTGCTAGTTAGGTGAAGAAGGAAGATTACAGGAAGAAAACAACATGGAAGGCAAAGAGGCATAGTATACTGTGAGAGCACAATGAGCTCCTTGTGCCTGAAAAGGTGTGAGGTGATGAGAAAGATGACACACAGTCTGGGGAGAGACCAGATAAGGAATACTGTTCGACAAGTTAAGGAATTTGCAGTTTATCCCGAAATGCAATACTACTAAAGGGGCTCTCACTGAAGCATAGGCTAATACTTTGGAAATAATACTATCTGTTGAATGATGAATGAAATGTGAGTGACGAACTGGAAATGGACTGAACAGAAAACAGGAAGACTAATCGGAGAACTGCAGTGACTAGTATTAGAGGAATTTTCCTAGGAAATATACTGACTTGCCCACCTGTTCACTAAATCGTTCACACATCCTTTCACACTGAGTAAATACTTGTTGATATGTACAATATACTTGGCAAAAAATAATAAAGAGCTAAACTATGACAGTGTTACTGAAGACATGCAAGAAGAAGAATATAACACAATTAGTAGAATTTATGAAATCTGGTCAGATCAGAGGAGTGAGAGGAAGAAGGAGTCTAGAATGATTTCTCATCTAATCGACAGGAAGGAGATACAGATATTATATATGTGTATTTACTACTGCATATTAGTATATTTATAAATATATTACTATGCATATGAAAGAAAGGGGAGCACAGTTATCAGAAGTAAAAATTAATCATGTGAATATAGGTAGATTTTTTTTTTTAAGAGGCAGGGTCTCACTATGTGGCCCAGGCTATTCACAGTTATGATCACAGCTCACTGCAGCCATGAACACCCGGGCTCAAGTGATCCTCCTTCCTCAGTCTCTCTGGTATCTGGGACTACAGGCCTGGGCCACTGTGCCTGGTTTTTAATTCTATATTGAACATGTTGCCTCTGAGGTGCCTGTGGGACATCTGTGCAGATGACCAATAGTAAGTCCAAAAACAAGAAAACAAAAATCTGTAGCCAAAAAGTGTACTTGAGTAGAGATGATATTTGAGGACTGTAAGTACATCAACACAAAATAGTATTTGGGGAGAAGGATCTGAATGGGTCAACACTTGCAGCCTCTTTACTAGTGGACTAGAGTACACATTGAGCAACAGTAATATTTAAGAGTCAAGCCAATGAACATGAGCTAGAGGCGGAGACTGAAATGAATGGCTAAGACAAAAAAACTGAACCGGTGTCACCGAATCCTAAGGAGAAGAAAATTCAAGAAAGAAGAAGCAGTGCATGGTGTCAATGGGCAACAATGTTAAGTAACAGACAAAGGAAATTGGACGTTAAGAGGTGGACTACCTGCCTTCCTGAGTGTGGTTTCAGTGGAGTGGCAGGAATAGTCAGACTCTGCGTAAAACAGGAATAAACAAAGACTGAGAATGTGATTATGCACAGCAGAGTGACTATTTCTGAGCTCAGATATAACAGAAATAAAAAGCTAAAACAAAAGTCAAGGAGAGTACGGCTCTAATTTTTTTTGTGATTTATAAAATAAAAGGGAGTTGAATTTTATGACTAAAAATAAAAAAAGTGGGGTGGGGTAGGGGTGCAGAAACAGTAGCCACCGTAAAGAAAGCAGGCATTAAAGATACAGGACAAAGAAAACTTGAATGACAACGCAACTCTAAGCACAAGAAACTGCAGAATCCAGAGCAAGGTCATGAAAGAGGGTTGCTCTGAACTCAAGAGGAGGGAGCTTTTCCTCTGGAAAAGGTGAAAGGATGAAGTACAGATGGAAGGGAATTATCAAAATTTCAGATGAAATTTAAAACAAAATCATTTTCTGAGAATGACGAGGGCAGTGGTGGGGCACAAGAAGCAGACGACAAGGGTAAGAGGGAACAACTATACAAACAGAAAACACCAGGCATTAACCAAGGCCCGCCTGGAGCCTCTCAAAGACCTAGGGACAGACAGGGGAAGATGAAGTGAAGAAAGAAGGCAGGCAGCTTCAGTCAGAAAGAGTGATGCAAAACATGAGGAAGGGAAAGCACAGGCAAGAAAGGCATGAAGTCAAACAGGGGGGCTCGGTAAGACTTCAATAGATAAATTATTTTTTAACCTAATGCCTAGTAATAAAAATATAATTCATGTCTAAAAGAATACATTTACACTCATATCAATTTTTTTAAAACTTCATCAGATGACTTTTCAGAAAGCATAAAGAAAACTTGATGCAAAGAATGCAACTTTGTGCAAGTAACAGTTTGAACATATAGCACATTAACAGTTTATCATACTCTTACCAATTTGTGATCCAGATTCATCTTTCTAATATCAGTTTTGAATTTGTTGCCTTCCCAAATATTTACTGAAGCATAAATGTTTTAAAATCAAATTACTGACACTTTAAATGAGAGTAGGGTCTAGTCTAATGCAACTTACAGAATTATACCACATATTCCATGTATTCATCGGATAAAATTCAGCACTATAAACATTTTCCTAAATCAACAAACAAGTTTTGCTAAAGGCACTAAGGAAAAAGAAGTCCCACATCAATTAAATCTCTAAAAATGAAAAAGATAAAACTATGTCAGCTATCACTTTGATCATGGCATAAACCACATGAAACCTTAATACCTAACACGAAGCTTTAAAAAAAAAAACCTCTATTATAAGTGTCTTGGGCCAGGCATGGTGGCTCACACTTGCAACCCCAGCACTATGGGAGGTTGAGGTGTGGGGACTGCTTGAGCCCAGAAGTTCGAGACCAGCCTAGACAACACAGTGAGACCTTGTCTCTACAAAACATTTAAAAAATAAGCTGGGTGTGGTGGTGTACACCTGTTATCCCAGCTATTCAGGAAGGATCACCTGAGCTTAAGAGGTCAAATTTGTAGTAAGCCGTGATTGTGCCACTGCACTCCAGCCTGGACAACGGAGTGAGACTCTAACTCCAACAACAACAACAAAAAGTAAGTATTTTAGAAATAAATGAGATAAATGAGAAAGAACACAAGTAACTAAAGTACCCCTAAATCATCTTTCTTCCTTTAAAATTATCCCTAATTACTCAGAAAGAGAATTCTAAGTATATTGGCATTATTGCTAGATTGTTTTTAAAAATTAAGTTTTGGAAAGCTCTGTAGATTTTTTCTTTTAACAGACAATTTTTTAGAGCCGTTATAGGTTCACAGCAAAATTGAGCAGGAAGTACAGAGTTCTCATATACTTTCAGCCCCATGCTCAACCAACACAAACTCCCTGACTATCAAGATTCCTCACCAGAGCTGAAAAATCTACAATGACATATCGTTAAGAACCAAAGTGTACAGTTTACATTAGGGTATGATTCTTGGTGTCGTGCTTTCTATAGGTTTTGACAAGTGTATAATGACACATATCTACCATAGTATCATAAAGAATAGCTTCACTATCCCCCAAATCATCTGTGTTCTACCTATTCATCTTTTCCTCTCTCAACCACTGAAAACCACTGACCTTTCTTATTTTCTCCATAGTTTTGTCTTTTCCAGAAAGTCCTTTAGTTGGAACTGTCAGGATGTAGGCTTTTCAGACTGGCTTCTTTCACTTAGCAATATACATTTAAGGTTCCTCCAAGTCTTTCATGGGTTGACAGCTCATTTCTTTGTTAACACTAAGTAATATTCCATTGTACAAATGTACCACAGTTTATTTATCCATTCATCTATGAAAAGACATCTTTGCTCATCAATGGTAGCAAATGTTCCACTCAAATGCAAGATATTCATAACAGTAATAACTTGGAGGGGGAGCACTGTGGAAGAAAGGGGCTTATGGGCACTCTGTACTTTCTACTCAGTTTTTCTATAAACCTAAAACTTCTCTAAAAAAAATCAAGTTTATAAGTAAATAAATAACAACATAAATAAGTGTTAAAAAATGATATAGTTTATTTTGCACTCCATTGTGACACTTTTTCTCTTTCTGTAACTATCTTTTAAAAAACTAATAATGTTTAAAATTTGGGTTACAAACTATTTAAATACCAGATATTGAGCTATCATTACTGAGCTGTTAAAATGCATGATGCTGATTGTCTAGCACTTTTTCCAGGCATTAGAAATTGGCCGGGCTCAGTGGGTCAGGCTGTAATCCCAGCAATTTGGGAGGCCGAGGCGAGCAGATTGCCTGAGCCCATGAGTTCGAGACCAGCCCGGGCAACCTGGTGAGACCTCGTCTCTACAATAAATAAAAAATTAGCTGGGCATGGTAGCATGCACCAATAGTTCCGACTACTTGGAAGGCTGAGGCGGAAAGATAGCTGTCACCCAGCGGGTCAACGTTGGGGTGGCTGTGAGCATGTCATTGTGCTCCAGCCTAGGCGTTAGAGTGAGACTCCAACTCAAAAAAAAAAAAAAAAAAATTTACATTGTCATTCTTAGCTCAACTGACAGAACTACCTGGAAATCAGTTTTTTTTAATGTTTATATAAATACACACAAATACACAGACACATTTTTCTCCTTACTTTCAAAAAGCCATATCTAGGAGTTCAGCTAAGAAACTATAAACTGCTCAAACAAAACCAGTCCATCAAATAGGATCATTTTCTTGTTGACCAGAGACAACAGTAAACAACATACATTTGAAAATTCCTATAAATCAAAAGATGCCACTGAAGCCTTAAAAGATGTCTAGGTGCATGTTACAACAACCTACATTTGCCTGTACAAAAACAGACCCCGCTGGCTCACTCCAGTGCTTGCTACATCAGTTGTTACCAAGTGAATTTCTCCTACACTGGCAAAGTAATAAGACCTTGCTTCAGGCAACCAGTATGAACTAGTCATTTCCAGATACATATTAACCTAAGACTACAGTTCTCTTCTCTCTTTCTTTTTTTTTTTTTTTTTTGAGTTGGAATTTTAGTCTATCACCCAGGCTGGAGTGCAGTGGCACAATCATGGCTCAATGCAGCCTTGACCTCCTGGGCTCAGGTGATCCTTCTGCTTCAGTCTTCTCAGTAGCTGGGACTACAGGCACACCCACCACATCCATACTACAGTTCTCAGTGGGGAGAGAACTGTCCACCAGGAGATACTGTGAAAATATGGGGAGGCATTTTTGTCTATCACAGAACTAGTGAGACCTGTTGACATTAGGACAGAAGCCGACAATGCCAAAGCTCCCTCGTGTGCAGGGCAGTCCACACAGGCAACTTCTGATTCCTGCCTTCCTTTCAAATGTCCTGAAGAACCTAGTTACAACTCTCAAGAGTCTGATACCAACTCCATTTAATCTTTACACAAAAATTTTTTTTTGAAGAACCAGAGATCTGAACAAAATTCTTTTTTGTATGGTTTAATTTACAGTGAATTTTCCTAGAAAGCAGCTACTATATAAAATCAAGGGAAGATTTTACTTTGTTTCATTAAAAATTTCACCAGTTAGCTTATATATCCCTGACAACCACTTGTGATATTTAACTCACCAATAAACATTCCTGAATCTGCCTACAATTTAGGTATCGTATTCAAAGTGATTTCCCATTGATTTTACTTGCTAGTGTAACCATGATCAAGCATTTATATATTTTATTTTATTTATCCTGTATATGCAGTTGAGTCATTAATTTGGGGGGTCATTTCTATAGATAAGCTATAATATCTCCGTTATTCACGTCAGGATAATAACATAGCACTACAAAATACTTGCTACAAAAAAAAGGTACTATAGGTCTGAGAACAACCACGTTTTTAAGCTTTATGTATCTTGTTCTTAGTCACTAAGGTTTGTATAATTGACCATTTTTATGTGGATTCTAAAAGAAAGACTACACAGAGATGGCAGATTTTGTCTGCCACAACCATGTATCCCTGAGCAAGATGTTCACTTTCCTTTCTGTGGATTTTAATGTATCTATAAAATAGAGAAGTAAACAAAATTATCTCCAAAGATTCTTCTCATTATTTCTTCTTAAAATTCTCAACATTTTCAAAATGTCTTAGGACTGGGCACAGTGGTTCATGCCCGTAATCCCAGCACTTTGGGAGCCAAGACTAGGTAGGGGTAGACTTGAGGACAGGAATTTCAGACCAGCCTTGGCAACACAGTGAGACTGCTGACTCTAAAATTTTTAAAAATTATTTGGAGTGGTAGCACATGACTGTAGTCCAAGTTACGTGGGAGGCCGAAGCAGGAGGATTGCTTGAGACCAGGAGTTCAAGGTTATAGTGAACCATGATCATGCCACTGGACTCCAGGCTGGGTGACAGAGCAAAACCCTGACTCCTCCCACCTCAAGAAAAGGAATATGGTCCCTAGCCATTTTCAAAAACTTGGGAAGTCAATCATAAATGTTCTTGGCAATCACCTAAAAAATTTAATCTAGAATATTCTCAATCATTACAGCAAATATTTCATCTTCAATACTATGAATACTATAAATAGGAGTTAGGTTAAGCAGAAATTTAATAAGCCTATCACATGGAAACATGGGGCCATACCAGATACAATAAATAGAAATTTAAACAAAGAGGTACCTATTACTTTCTACAATACTGCTGCTCACCAGACTCTTTGGAATCAACTTTCCTGTCAAGTGGAAGACTGATAGTGGGACAGGCAGTTCAAGGCCACGAGTGAAAGTAGAAAGAAACAGTCATCTGTTGGCCAGATTTTGAATGAAACTTCAAAGTGCATTATGCCATTCTTTGCTCTGAATTATCAATCTCTGTTCTCTAAAATGAAGACAACTTTTGCTTACTTTTACAGAGCATTGAGTTGGCAGAGTTTCTAAGGCTCTCTCACATATCTTTTCTTTGTTCTCATTGTCTCTGGCACAAGAACTAACCCCACGAGAAAACCAAGGTATAGAAAAGTTAGGCAATAGACCCAGAGTCACAAAGTCTGTAGTTGAAGAGTCAAAATTAGTATTCAGATATGCTAAGGTTCAGTATAATCCTAAGCTCTCTCTTCCACAACCCCTCTCTAGTGAAGGGGTTGTGCATCTCTGTAAAAGTGTCTAAGAACTGAGAGAAAATAGGCATGGTCTTCAGGAAAACATTAGAAACAGTTTTAAATAGGGTTCCTGAAAAGCAAAAATCACAATCAACTGCATTACTACAATATAACAGGATCAATCAAGCATTTCTATGTTGACAAAATATTTCAAATTAATATGCTAATAAGCGCATGAAAAATATATTGATAGCCAAGAAAACAATACAGCATATGTTTTGCAGCTTATATTTTAAAGAAAGATTTTGAACTTTTCAAAATCTTACACAGCAATATTTTCTCTGTAAGAATCCACAACAAAATCCTTCTGATCCAAAGGAAAAAGGAACAAAGGTAATATTCTTATTTCATTTCATTTCATCCCTTGCAATTCATATACTTGATTCCTGGCACCACTGTCACCACCCACTCTACGTGCTAAAGATCAAGGCAGCACCACCATCACTGGGCAGCACCACCATCACTGATCAGCACTGCCATTCCTCCTCACCTGGCGGGCATAGTGCTCTATTTCCTCTGCTCTGGCCTGATACCAGTCTATAACCTTCTCGACTGCAAGCTGGCTGGTCCTGAACCTCAGTAGCTCAGGCTGTGCAGCGTACAAGAATTCACTTTCATCTTCAAGACTTGGCTCAACAACCATTCTGTGAAGCACAAAAGAAATAATTAATAATTGAATGAAATGCCAAAAAAATAGTAATTTTGTAAGAGAAAGGGACAGAAATGGAGAGAGAGAAGCTTACAGAGACAGGGAGTGTGTGTGAGTGTGTGAGTGTGTGTGTGTGTGTGTGTGTGTGTGTGTGTGTGTGTGTGTGTGTCCTTTTCTCATTATGAATGTACACCCCTATAAGATAAATGAGACATTTTTAGGATGCTTAATTTATTTCCCTCTGGTTTTCCCGATTTAAAAAATCAGAATGGATAATAAATCAAAACAACTATGCCACAAATCAATCACATAAGTCTTAACAAAATCAAAATCACCCTAGGAAGCTTCTACAAAATGCACACAGCTGGGTACCTACCACAGCCCTACTCAATCAAAATCACCTGTAATGGCCAGCCAGGCCTAGTTTAGAAAAATACCCCCAGGTGATTCCAATTCGAACTTGAATTAAGAAATCTTGTTTTCAATGTTCATAAAAGTAAAAGGAAATACATCTTATTTATGTTGATAATATACCCCTCCTGGATGCCAGTAGGATATTCCTGGACTGACATTGGCACAGAGCATGAGGACTCTATACCATTCCCCACCAGGTGTGAAAAAGAATCATCATCCGAGAGGAACCTACACAGTGATAACATCATGGAAATCACAAATTATGGGGAGTTTTTGTAAGGATACTCATGGCCAATAGCCTTGCGTGGTTAAGGACTAAAAAAAGAATAGAAAGTAACAAATCTCAGAGGGACACATGGAAAAATGCTGTGTTCCATTAGGGACATCCATTCATCTAAAGCAAGCTGGGAGTACATGACAAATTGTTCTTATTATAAGGCAGCGAGCTTTGCAGTCAGAACTGAATCCGAAGCACAATTCCATCACTGGAAGCTGTGAAACCTTTTGCAATGACTTAACTAAAACCAGTCTAAGATTCCTTCTACTCATTTTTTTAAATGGGGTAATACTATGTAAGAATGTTATAAAAATTCAAAATAATGTAAATAAAGTACACAGAGAGTACTGCCTGGCACAAAGTGCTTAATTTTATTTATAGTTACTATTTTTATTGGAATTATTAGCAGCTGCAGTATATGATCAGACAAAAAGAAATCCATAAATATTTGGGCCTTTTATCCACATGCCTTGGACAACCCACTGGGCTTATAACTGGCATTACAATAAGGCCTCCCAAAATACAGAATAGTCCTTCACTGAACTAGTCCCATAGTGTCATTAATATTCTTACCACTGCCACACAGAGCCACCTCACTCCTCCTGGAATCTTGTGCATCTGTCCCATTTTAGAAAGAGAAAATAGCCACCAGCAACTCTGAGTTCTTTTGATACTTTTTTCAGTTCTATTTTCTCAGCACCATTTGATAGAACTAAATGCTCCTCCTAGAAATACCTTCCCTCTCCCTTCAGTCTCTATGCCAGCTCGATTTATTCATCCCTCTGGCCGCTCCTCTTCAGTCACCTTTACTCCAGCCAATCATTAAACATTGGCACTGTCACATGCATATTAGTCCAGCTCTCTTCTCACTTTACTCCCCTCCAGATCTCCAATGTAACAATATAAAGGACCACAGACATTACAACAGCTACCATGTTTTTACCCCAACCAAGACTTCACTTTGAAGCTATAAAATCTTCCTGCTATTAGTTCTTAGATGTTTCACAGGCCCTTCAAATACAACAATTTCAAAACAGAATTCATAGGCCGGTTGCGGGGGCTCATGCCTGTAATCCCAGCACTTTGGGAGGCTGAGGCAGGAGGACTGCTTGAGCCCAGGAGTTTGAGGCTATGGTGAGCCATAATTGTGCCACTGTATTCCAGCCTGGGCAACAGAGTGAGAAGACTCCAACTCAAAAAAAAAAAAATTAATGATACCCCCAGGTAATATAGTTAAGTTTTTTAAAAAAACAGAAACCTGATTATATCATCCCTATGCCTAAAATGAATAGTTCAGTCTCAGTGTGATGCCAATCTCACTTTTGTTTGATACATACCAATATAGAGGCCTTATTTTCAGTTCCTGAAGGGAGCACTGCCTGAGCCTCCCAACATGCTCTTTCCTCCCCTTAGAACACTCCTTTCCCTCATCGAACTCCCTCTCTGTGCTAATTCCTTACCCTTCGAATCTCAGCTCTACCTCACTTCCACAAGAGGATCTCCCTTGACCTCTCAACCCACCCGCAGTGCCCCTGCACTTTTCCTCACAGCACCCATTGGCCCCTATTTACAGCAGCAGAATTCCCTGCTACATCATGCATTTCAACTGGACAAGGACTATACTCTTCTTCCTTCAGTAGTTCTGAACCTAACAGAGGAAAGGCACTAATTAAAAAAATAAGCAAAAAGAAAAACAAAAAAATCTGTATTAACTTCAAAATCATATTTTCTTCTGTCAAACTTTTCCTGGCTTGACATTTTTATAGTTTTGGGAGTTCCAGCATAGCAAAGGTTGCTTATACGTTTGTTGTAGGTGGTCTGAAAAGGAATGCCCTCATGTCTTGTTTGTGAGAATCATGAAAAGGCAAGGGCTAAGCAGAACTAGGAAGTATAACATGAAGGGTTGGACTGCTGTTAGCACTGCTCTATAAAATGCACCACATGAAACTGAAAGACTGTGGTCAACAGTGTCACCTCCCCTGTCCCCACCACCATCCAAATCCCTATCATATCAATCTCCCGCCTTTTTCAAATGATCTAGCTCTTTGATCTCTCATTACAATTGGTAAATAAGGACTTCTAGTCAAATATGGTCAATAAATATCATAGCCGGGCTCGGTGGCTCAGCCTGTAATCCCACGCTTTGGGAGGCCGAGGTGAGTGAATTGCCTGAGCCCGCGGGTTTGAGATCCGCCCAGGCAACTTGGCGAGACCTCATCTCTACAATAAAAATCAAATAATTTAGCTGGGCGTGGTAGCGCGCACCTGTATTTCCAGCTACTTGGAAGGCTGAAGTGGAAGGATCGCCGGAGCCCAGCAGGTCGAGGCTGCGGTGGCCGGGAGCGGCCACTGCACTCCAGTGTGGGTGACAGAGTGAGACTCTAACTCAAAAAAAAAAAAAAAATATATATATATATAAATAAATATCATATATTACGTTGCACTTTCTCCTGAAACTCCACTGAATGACAGTAGAAGATACTTTTAAATTGAGGGGAGGGAGATAAACACTCAAGTATACATGGAACAAAAAGAAAGTAAGCCATTATCCTCCATTCTAGAAAGTAAACAGTGAAGAGTCAAAATTAAAAAGGTAAGAAACAGCTACACAATTATGTTATTCAGAGATAAGGAGGTAAATATCCAAACACTCATCGAAAGAACTGAAAGGAGTTGTCTCTGGAGAGCAGGATATGAGGTGAAAGAGAACAAAGAATTATGGGCTTTGGTTCTTTCATGTTTTTTGTTTTTTTAAAACAGGCTTCGTAGAACACTTTAAACAATTTGCAAATACATACAATTATGATAAAAATGAAAACTACAATAAAAGCAAATAGCTTTTATTTATTTAATTTTTTGAGTCAAAGTCTTACTCTGTTTCCCAGGTTGAAGTGCGGTGGCACGATTATAGCTCATCATCATGACCTTCACTCCTGAACTTTAGCAATCTTCCTGTATCAGTTTCCTAATGAGTAGTTGGGACTACAGGTACATGCCATCACACCCAGCTAACTGTTTTTTTTTTTAAGTAATTTAAAAAATTTTTTTGGTAGGGAAAAGAACTTGCTGTGTTGCCCAGGCTGGTCTTCAACTCCTGGCTTCAAGAGATTCTCCTACCTCACCCTCCCAAAGAGTTGGGATTACAGGTGTGAGTCACTCTGCCTGACCAACTGGCTAATTTTTTTGTATTTTGTAAAGATGAGGTATTGCTATGTTTCCCAGGCAGTCTCGAACTCCTGAGCTCAAGTAATCCTCCCACCTCAACCCCCCAAAGTGCTGGGATTACAGGTGTGAGCCACTGTGCCCAACAACATCAACAAAATTTAACTTTTAAAAAGCAAATAATAGCAAAAACACAGGAGGACATTCACTTATGACATACACGGAAACTGAGAGTTACATATTCTATTAACTTGGATGTCAAAAATGCAAAGGTACAAAACGAAGGAAAACGACCCTCGATTGGACTTTTAGCCCCACACTGCATCTCCCAACCACCGTAGCAGTACTTGATGCCCACATATTCTGAAGCTCTCCAAAGTAAAATCTTTTTTTTTTTTTTAATTTATTGTAGAGACGAGGTCTTGCCAAGTTGCCCGGGCGGGTATTGAACCCGCGAGCTCAGGCAATCCATTAGCCTCGGCCTCCCAAAGTGCTGGGATTAAAACTGAATCAAGAACCAAATTGCATAGGTACCCCAATTACAACTATACAAATTATATCTCTGTGAAAGACTGAAAAAGAAAAGAGTTATAATAAGAAAATTATATCTCTATATGTGAAAGACTGAAAAAGAAAATGAAGAGTTGTAATTAGGATCATTTTTTAGCATAATTCCTACATAGAAATTTTTAATTTTTCCATTAAAAATTTTTAGCAAGCCGGGCTCAGTGGCTCATCCTGTAATCCCACGCTTTGGGAGGCTGAGGTGAGTGGATTGCCTGAGCCCGCAGGTTTGAGACCCGCCTGGGCAACTTGGCAAGACCTCATCTCTACAATAAATCAAAAATCAGCCAGGCGTGGTAGCATGTGCCTGTGGTTCCAGCTACTTGGAAGGCTGAGGCGGAAGGATCACCGGAGGCCAGCAGGTCGGGAGCATGCCACTACACTCCAATCTGGGCGACAGAATGAGACTTCAGCTCAAAAAAAAAATTTTTTTTAGCATAGCTGAGTCAAGAGTGCCTTTTAAAACTTCATTCAAGCTTCCTAACTCAGGGAGTGTCATCAAGTGATAGATCACTGGTTACACAACACTTTCACAGGCCATCCCTTCGCCCATCCCACAAAGAAATGAAGATGCCTCCTGCTGGCTCATACTGACCTGCACTCCAACTCCTCGCACCAGTCTTTAGCTCGGTGTTTACGTTCATGCCAAGGAATTATCATCAAGGAGCCACCATGACAACTTAAATTTAAAAAGAAAAAACATAAGCATTTAAAATATACATGACCTCAGTGATTAGCTATACAACAATACGATACAAACAATATTTCTTTGACATTAATCTCCAAGATCCCTGTATATATAGTATTTTAAGTGGTACATGATACATAGTATATACACAAATAGGAAATACCACATTGCTATTTACTTTAATCATAAAATGGTTCAAAAATAAAAGAAAAATGTCAAACAAAAGACATGACAAAGAAGTGAAGGATGAATAAGTGTTCATTCACATATTATAAAACACTTATCAAAAGCCTGTATTATATTTTCTTAATAACAACATAAATGGTCCCCTGTCCCAAAAGCTGAGCAATACTGTTCAACTGAACTCCCTATGATCATAGAACTATTCTCAATCTGTGCTATCCAATACAGTAGCCACCACTAGTTACATGTACAGATATTAAGTACTTGAAATATGACTACTGTTACTAAGAAGGTAAATGTTAATTTAACTTAATTTTCATTAATTCAAATTTAAATAGCCACATGTGGCTACCATATTGGATAGTATAGGTCTAGAAGATAGGTAACAGCAAGAGTTGAGAAGTGATTCTACATATTGAAAAGTATCACTAAAAGATGACAGAAAGAAAATCTACAGAAGGCAAAGATAAGGCCTGAATGCATGTAATTAAGAATAAATTAAAAGGAAAAGCAAGGCAAACACAGTGTAGTAATACAGCAGTGCAATGTGCTACAAATCAGGGACCTGGGAAACAGAAACAAATCTGCCTCTCATCAGCAGGCTTTGGCACATGACTCTCTAAAGTGAAGGGTTTGAAATGTTATTTCTAAAGGTTTTTAGCACTAATACCCATGAAGCCATTAAAACAAAAGAACCATTCTTAAAATTCTTAAAAATTGAATCATCTTAAAAACAAGCTTCAATTGCCTTGCTTTTATATTTCAATAACACGTTTTCTCTAATATTTCTGAATACCAATAGAAGCATTTTCCTTAAATTTATCATAGTCCCAGAAAAAGGATTATAGCTCATGAGACCTGCAAAGGGGCAGTAATGAGTCATCACTCAACAACATCACCCTTGCAGTTACTGTTATTGGGGAAAATTTATCCAAAATCACAGCTCCCCATTAGGTATACAAAATAAGTGGTTTATTGTATTATGTATTTAAAACACAGATTTTCAGCCAGCATGAAATATCCCAGCAAGCTATGTACCACAGATAAATTTTTTAAGGCACTAGAGTTCATATTTTAAATTTCTCAATCACAAAGATGATGATTTAGAATGGATGTCACTTCATACTATTTCATTTGTCACCAAATAAAAAAACTATTCTATTTTTTCCATATCAATCACTAATATTTTATCATAGACCACTGAAATGAAAAGCAAAAAGATAACATTTGGATACACTGATTATGATAATGCTCATTCTTCCTATATAAGAATAAATTATGGCAATGAATTGAGAATTGAGGAAAAAAATAAATAAACCTAGCAAGTTATTATGACTTTTCTAATTACAGCAGACACGGTTCCTTAAACTACACAAAATGTTTTCTAAAAAAGTTTTTGCAAAATGCATCCAAGATGAGATTTGTACTTTCTGTGCAAAACATAAATTAAACACAAAAGTATTACTAAAATGATTAGTAATGTATGGGACCCTCAGCAAAATAACACTTATTTGGTATTTCAAGACTAGTAAGTCATAAAACTGTATCTTCACTGAACAGAACATATCTAATTTTAAAACAAATTCTGCTCAGAGGTCCACGATGAAAGGCAGGCCTGAATGGTTCTAGGGTTATTAAGTTATTTTTGCTGCAGTTTCAAGGAATAACACAACTGGTTTGTTTCTAAATGTGCTAATCATGATTGATACGATAATAATAATAAATGACAGTAGTACTATTATTACTACTACTATTACTATATCAGCAATAATCAGCGACAACAATAATCCTTAACACTTACTGATCTCTTAGTATGGACCAGACAGTATACAATGCTTTTATCAAACAATACTTCAATTTAGACTTACCAATCTAACGCAGTAGGTGGTAGCCCCCTCAAATTGCAATAAGAAAACTGAGGCATAAGTTAAATTGCTCAACCTAATAAAACTAATAAATGACAGACCCAGGATTTGAACACACTGAGACAGAATCCAAAGCTTACACTTTTAGTCAGCATACTAAACTGCATCTAGAAAGGACAGAGGGACTGCAATCTAGCCCTCAGCCACATCTCCACTACTCTCCTACTTCACACATAAGGGATTTGTGCATAGCAGGTAGAGGGCAATTTGACCCTTCCCAAGATTTAATACAGACAACCCAATAACAATCATTTATATGCATGTTCAAAGGATACATTGAAACTAAGATATACAAGCAATAGATTACTAGTCTCCCATAAGCAATAGACTACTAGTCTCCTTCCCTCCTTCCCTCCCTCCCTCCTTTGTTCCTCCTCTTTCCCTCTCTTTCCCCTCTCCTCCACTTTCTATCCCCTTTCCTTTCTTCTCTCTCTCTCTCTCTCTCTCTGTCAGAGGATCTCATTCTGTTGCTCTTGGAACTCCTGGGTTCAAGTGATCCTCCCACCTCCATCTGCCATGTAGCTGGGACTACAGGTGCACGCCACCATGCCTGGAAACATTTTGTTGTTGTTGTTGCTGTTTCTGTTGTAGGGATGGGACCTAGCTATGTTGCCCAACCTGGTCTGGAACTCCTGATCTCAAACAACCCTCTCACTTCAGATTCCCAATGTGTTGAGATTATCAGCATGAGCAATGGCACTTAGCCAAATTACTAGTCTTATGAAATTAATTTCTACCAAATGTCTTCATCTTGGGTCTGATTACCAATGTTTATGTTTAAAAAAAACAAACTGCTCTTTCATTTTCATCCAGGATGCACCTACAAAACAAACTATTTTAAACTAAATCTTAAGAGTTTAAAATGATTATGAAATGCCCATGAGTTCTTTATTTTGCGTCAAATGAAGGCATTTAAGAAACACGAAGTAAAAGCAAAACCTGAATTTCTTAACCAACTCATCTTCCACAAAGACTCCACCATCAACCACCAGGAGAGGAGAACCTATTCAATAAATAGTGCTGGGAAAACTGGCAGACCAAATGCAGAAGATTGAAACAGGACCCCTACGTTTCACCATACACAAAAATCAACTCTAAATGGATCAAAGACCTAAATGTAAAACCTCAAACTATAAGAACCTTAGAAAATGCAGGAGACACCCTTAAGGAAATTGGAACTGGCAACCAATTCCTGATCAAAACCCCAAGTGCACAGGTGATAAGAGATAAGATAGACAAGTGGGACCTCATCAAACTGAAAAGCTTCTGCAAAGCCAAAGAAACCATCAAGAGAGTGAGGAGACAGCCCACTGACTGGGAAAAAATATTTGCCAACTGTGTGTCTGACAAAGGAACTCAAATGTGCCTAAAGGAAAAAAACACAGCCGCATTACAAAGTGGGCAAAAGATATGAATAGACACTTCTCAAAAGAAGATATACAAGCAGCCAACAGATACATGAAAAAATACTCAACCTCACTAGTCATCAAAGAAATGCAAGTTAAAACTACACTGAGATATCACCTAACTCCAGTCAGGATGGTCATTATCAATAACTCAAAAAACAACAGATGCTGGAAAGGATGTGGGGAAAAGGGAACACTTCTACACTGTTGGTGGGAATATAAACTAGTACAGCCTCTGTGGAAACAGTGTAGTGATTTCTAAAAGATCTAAAAATTGACCTTCCATACTACCCCTCAATCCTTCTACTGGGAATATACCCAGAGGAACTCAAATCACTCTATGAAAAAGATATCTGCACACATATGTTTATTGCAGCCTTGTTCACAATAGCAAGAACATGGAACCAACCGTGCTACCCATCAAAAGAGGACTGGATTTTTTTAAAATGTGGTACATATACACGATGGAACATTATGCAGCCACAAAGGAGGTCAAAATCATGAACTTCACAGCAACCTGGATGGACTTCAAGTCTGTAATACTGTGCGATCTATCACAGAAACAACTGAGTATCACATGTTCTCACTCATAAGTACACCTTGAACAATTATCGTAATATTATAAGAAAAAGGTTGGCAGTAGCAGGAAGCTGCCAGGAGTGGGGGGCAGGGGGGAATGCAGGATTGGCAGTAGTGGCGATCTGCCCAGGCGGGGGAGGGGGGCCCACATCATCAACAAGGGTACCTGCATAATGAACATTTGTATTCCTAACCCTGAATTGTACCCCACATCTTTAAAATAAAAAAATTAAAAGAAAAATAAAATAAAATATGAGATATATAAATATATAAAAGAATTTATTGAGACTAAAAAAAGAGAAACACAGCCTTGTCTCCAGCCAGAATAAAAATTCCTTAAAGGCAGGAATCTTGTTTATTTTGTCTAGTGCTGTATCCTCAGCACCTGAAATAGTACCTGGCATTTAGCAGACTCTTAAAAAAAAATGTGTAGATTGAATTAATTAACTGACAGCACAACAAACAATTTTTAAAGTGATCTCATGGGTATCACAAAAATTCAAAGTTGAAATACATCAATGGAAGAGGATAGTTTGCTCATTTAAAAAAGGGGGGGGTTCATTTAAAAAAAAAGGCTGGTGGCTCAGCCTATAATCCCAGCACTTTGAGAAGCCAAGATGAGTGGATTGCTTGAGCCCGCAGGTTCAAGACCAGCCCGGGCAACTTGGCAAGACCTTGTCTCTACAATAAAATCAAAAATTAGTCAGGCATGGCAGCACAACTGTAGCTCCAGTTACTTGGAAGGCTGAAGTGGAAGGATCGCCAGAGTCCAGCAGGTCGACGTTGGGGTAGCCAAGAGCATGCCACTGCACTGCAGCCTGGGTTACAGAATGAGACTCCAACTCAAAAAAAAAAAAAAATTAGTTTGTTCATAAAAAACTGTCTGACCAGGTGCAGT